CAGCGCGGTTCAGAGTCCACGTACGTTATTGATCAGTAAGTTCTTGTTCGTTCATCTTGTCAGAGGAGCTAGGGTATTATTTCATGAATGGCTCTCTTCACCTCCACAATGCTTACCTTCTTCCTCACGGCATTCTCCTTCACCTTGGCTCTCAGCTCCGCAACGAGAACACCGTTGCTGCTGAGAGAAGACTGAACCGCCGTGACCTCGATCCTCATCTCCCTCAGCTTCTGCATCATGTCGAGCAGCAGCCCTTCCCGGTGCTCGCACTGCAGCTCCAGCAGAGCGTCCCTCTCTATGATCGACACCTCCACGCTCGCCGCCGCCGCCGCCGCCGCCGCCCCCCTACCCTTCTTCTTCATCTCCGATCTTGTAATTCGCTGTGGCTCCGCCAGCTGGCGGTTCCTTGCCTCGAGTTCCTGAATCTTGCTCCTTAGCTGCTTCAGGTACTCGATGGTGTCCCCTAAGATGGACGCCTTGTCCATCTTGGTGACGAAGGGGACGCGACCGGAGGACGATGAACCTCTCGTTGAGCTTCTCCCGCCGCCGCCGCTCCGCCATCACGTGGTTCGCGCTCAGCTCGTCCCTCACCCGGCCCGCGCCGGATTTCGGGGAGTCCTTCTCTTCCTCGGGGTGGTGCTTGGCGTGGAGGTAAGGCACGTTGAACAGCATGTACTTGAGGGCCCACTGCGACGTCGTCGTCGTCGTTCCCAATTCTGGTGGATGGTCAGCTACTGCCACGTAGTTGGTCCACGTGGCGAAAGCGGACTGGGGCGGGGAGCAAGCGGTGGTGGAGGATGTGGTGGTGGTGGGCCAGCCTCCGGACCGACCGAGCCGGTGGTGGTTCTGGAGGACGGCGGACACGGTCTGGGAGTAGTGCGTGTCCTCCTGGGAGAGCTCTTGATCCATCGGCTGCGGCGGCTGGAAGTCGATGCCGCCGCAGCAGTCGGCTTCCATCATTAGGGATCTCCACCGCTGGGAGCCGAACAAGTTGAAGTTGGAGTCGAGCTGGTTGGAGCCGCCGTCGTCGGGTGAGCCGAGCCGGATATCCTCCGACATGTCCAGCTGCATCAGCTCGATCGGCTGGGAGCCAGCTGCAGGAGGCTCTGCCTCTGCTTCTGCGTCGGAGTTCTCGCAATCATCTTCTAGTTGCTCTTCGTCGTCGTCCTCGTCGATTTCGAGGTCGTCAGGCTCTTCATCGTCGTCATGGGCAGGAGTGTGGTCATCGGCGGGGGAGAAGACGGTGGATGGGAAGAGAGGGGAGCGGAAGGCGGAGGAGGGATGGTCGGAAGACGGGACGGGATCGGAAGTTGAGTGGCCGGAGAGGGCTGGCTTTGGAGCAGGGTTATGCTGGTAATTCTGGTCCGTGAAGAAGCCTTTCACGTGCTCGATTAATCCAGCATCCTCCTGTAACTGCACAATGTTACATTGGTAATATTATTATTACCATCAGTTTAATTATTTACGCAAACAGTACAGTACATATATGATAATAAAAATAATATTAAATATATGATTTACGAAGCGCTAATTCACTATCATTGTCTACAAATACAATATCTACCACTTACAAGCAACAATGGTGCACCTTGGATTATTGAAGGTAGTTAAAGAAGTACAATGTCGTAAATATATAAATTTGTGAACTATTAGTGAATTTTTTTCAAGATATATCAACTGTGAGTCTGTGACCTCAATTAGCGCATGCAATCGAGTTATTATATTAACAACCATTAACATCAAACCATCCTAATACATTTCAGGGTTATTAGACCATTTCACATTCTGCACCGTTAGAAGCTGGTGATGACATTTTATATAAATAATAATTATTGAACGGCCATTCCACTATCTAACAGTGGTTAGTACGTACCTTAGCAGTAGTGCCGAGTTCTAGGACACCATCAAGGAGAGGAATGCAAACAACTGTCTGCAAAAAAAAAAAAAAAATTAAATAAAATCAGCCCAAATTACTTTTATGTGCTTCCTAGCTAATTAAGTCAAATATTTTAACGTTGACCACAAAGAAGAGAGTTATTAGGTACCCTGGTAGAGTTTACCTGAACACGAGCACTCTGGTAGAGTTGGATACCGATCCAGCCAAGGCGACAGGTTTGGATAAGCCCACGAGACCAAACAGCAAAAAAAGAGTTGATTAGTTATCTATAGCTTATGAGTAATTTGTATGTAGCCAAATAGACTATTTGTTTCATATATGTGGTTCTTATCACCTCAACATCTTTAACGATTTACATTAATAAAATCTTCCAAAATGAAAAAATAACAATGAAATAGTTAATGGAAATTGTCATGTTAAACTTAATATAGTAAAAATCGCATTTTAAAACTTAATTAAAAACTCTTTTACACTTCAATGTCACAAAAAAAACTTTAGTAGAATCGTGTTTTTCCCTAACAAGTGAAAGTATTTTGGAGGATGCATGCAAATGTGAAATAGAGTAGGAGTATATGTGCGTAAATGCCGGCCAAGTAATATGCATGTGGAGTAGAAGCTGGACACGTTAACAACGACGAAGGGTAATAGTTAATAACTTTGCCTGTGTTCCCTTTTGTTGCATAGTAATTAAATTAAGTTTGTCACTAGTGCTACTTGAAGACAAATATCGATCAGGAGAGGAGAAGAAAATGTGGCAGTGATCTGGTTTTGGAATTGTCAGTTTGTGTCGTGGAAATGACAAGCTCTGGATGTGGATTTTTTTTTCTACGAATATGTTTAATTTTAATATGTGAGACAAATGTTTTTGCACCCACCCAAGGATCGTCATTAGTCAACTCAATTTTTGTTTGGGTTGATGAATTTAAATGACACGAACTTTGATTAACTTTTTGACAAATTAAAGATAACTTGAAGAAAAAAACTGAAAAACAAAATAAATTTTTTAGAGCTTCAGATCAAATTTTTTGTATTGATATCGTTAAATTTCACAATTAATTTTAGACCAACTTATGACTCATTAGTTGGTATTGATGCAGCAAAACACCAATTTCACGTAAGGAGGAGAATTTGGTGTTTATATGCTATTACCTTTTCTACGCCAACTATAGTAAAATACAATTTCCACACCTTTTCTCATTGGATGTAACAATGTAGTCGAAATTTCAACTCAACTTCTAAAAATTTATGATTTTCCTATCTCGATAGAACTATAGTAGAAGCTTTTATATGCTATTACCTTGTTTTGATGATTGAACATTAATACTTAATTAATATATTGAGTATGGATAAGACACAATCCTGTTACTGAAAAATGTATAGGGTATGTCTTTCATAATTTGTTAAGATTTTGTACACTTTAAGTTTTTCAATTCAATTTTATATGTAATTGTGGTTTCTGTAAGATACATAGCCTGACAAGCCTAACTAATTAAGTGGGAATGAACAGGAGAATGTTCAGAAATGATTAATGAAAGTATTTCACATCTAAAGATAATGAACTATAATTTGACTTTTGAGGTAGATAAAACATGAGTGAATAATTATCAAACTCTTTGAGATGACAAAATATGGAAAAGCATAGTTATTATATATAATAATTGTATGAACCCTAAAAGTTCAGGATTCTACGATTCATTTCTGATTCTACCTTGCTTTTTGGCTCTATATATGTTTTCAGAATCGTCTTCTACATAGCTAGCGGCTCCCATTCACAATTGACGTTTGTACCAGTTAAATGTTAACACAGTACCGCGTTTTGGCATTGGGATATTTTATTGAAAATATGTACATATGGTTTAGGGTTAATTAAGCCCTGAATTAGTGCTGTCATTTCACAATGCATCTTAATGAAACAAACAGTGTCGCAAGTAATTAAGTAGCTAGCTAGCTAGGTTAGGTACCTTAGCAAGGATGGCTCTGGAATAAATTTTGCTGTCGACCTCATTTGCGCCACTCAGCCATACGTGCTGCCGCTTTGCATATGCCTTTCCTGGTAACCTTCATAAAGGTCATTTCTTACACAGTATCACTAAACCAACCAACCAACCAACCCTTTCAAATGCAAATTCAACACAAAGAATACAGATCGCACATTCGCACTGCTTCATTATTAAGAGCAAAGAAATCGATCGAGCTCCATGCAAAGGTGGAAAAGAGCAGGAAAACTTTTGTTTTTCAATTTCTCTACTTCTTTTCAAACGCAAATTCGACTATTGCTTGCTTCTCCCTATATATCTATCTCAGTCGTCGTCTCACTGTCGCATAGGATGGCCATATATATGATCCATCTTGCTCTGCAATTACTGAACAGTGGTAAATCAATCAGAATCCCATGTGCATGGCTGTGTGAGGGCAAAACCATTTTTATTTAATGCTGCATGCGTCCCATTTGGGAAACTGGGAGACTCGTGATGACAAGTCAATTTAATTATTGCTTCCCTCCTCTGCAAGTTCTATCTCATCACCACAGTTTGTTTGTGTCCCTTCTGCCAGCCACAAATTAGCTATCTCTCGCCACCTCAAAGGTCAAACGCCCCATCTAGCCTAATTTCCCCATATAAATGGTGGGAGAAATTTTACAAAATGTGAATATTCAGTGGTGTCTTATTCTATTATTCATATCGTTGAGGGGTGAGGAATGATTGAATGGATATTGAAAGATGCTAAACACCATATATATATATATATATATAGGCTACTTCGGTGCACTTACTTTTTTGGTGCATTGAACTCTCAAAATGGTCATAATACATCAAATTTTGAAATTTAATGGATAACATTAGTCTAATATGATGATATAACACAGAATCACAACTAATAGATCCATTACCCTAACCTATTAACCTTCAATTTTGAATCCCAACCCAAATCTCAAATTGTAAACCCTAACCCTAACCCTAACCCTAAATTCTTAACCCAAAATCATTCAAATTAAAGTGAATCTTGAATGATTTTTGTACAAATTCATGTGGTTCTTGTTCATCATACCACAAGTGATGATTGACATCGTTTTCATATGAATCGACTGCTCATAATGACGATTATGAGGCGGGTGCATTGAATGCAACCAAAAAGTGAGTCCACCAAAAACATAACCATATTGTTACGTTGAACAAATGTAAGAGTAGAAAAAATAAAGTATGGGCAAGTAGACACAGAGTTTGATAAAGAGCTGAAAAAGTAGTGGTGGTGGTGGTAAGAATGGTCCTGGCAGAAGGTGCCAAATGAGGGAAGTTGGTCCTGCAAAGTGAAGTTTTGCCTTTCCTTACGTTACATATCTATCCTTCTATTCGCTTCACTTTTGCCTTTCCTTACGTTACATATCTATCTTTCTATTCGCAGCCAGTTTCTTTCTTGCTAGCGAGTAATTATCATGGCTTTAATTCGGTCCCGAGTCCGACCAAACAAAGCAATCATGAGTACATGGGATGGTGGGTAGCCTTCTGTATAGTTCTGTGGTTTCATTTGCTTAGACTTTGCATGCAGTACGCTAGCTATAGCTCGGCCAATTTCATCGCTGGCAAAATTGCATTATTGGTTACTGATTTCCTGTAGCTTCCTAGTCAAAAACCAAATTTCATGCCCATACTATATTTTCTTATAGCCTAGAAAGGATAAGTTAATCCAATCCAAATTAAACACCTTACTAGCTACTTGCGAATCATCTAAGAACAAAACCAACCACCAGTGCAACTTTACCTCTCTACGCCAACTCAGTTTCCCATCTTGAAACTAACGGCAGAAATGTCAATTTAGATCCGAGTCCGACCCGCTTTATCCTACCTATTTAACTAGTTTTGGAGGGATAATATTCGCCTCATAGGCGACGCGGCACGAGCATGAGTATTCTTTTGGACCGCTCATCCTATTTACGACCTATTCTTGCCTAAATTACATGTAATTTCACTCAAATTACTTAGAATTTATTTTTTTTATATAACATTTAACTATAAACGTGTAATAAATGGGAATCTCAATTTTGCACATATTTCTAATCTTTCTTACTTAAATTACATACCAATATGGGTTGATCTGCCCCAAACTGCCACAAAGAAGTATGGGTATCGAAATATCAATCCGGTCGGCCCATTGTCATTCCCTAATTGTTTAATTGGGTAATGGGACTTTGGGTAGTTCGTAGATTCGGAGTAAAAATCATATGTCTTTAATGAGTTTTATCATATGAGGTTCTTGGTTTATATATTGCAATTATCTAATTAACTAGTTGGGATAATATTAACTCTCTCCTAAAACGAGAAGTTCTATTTATAACTTGATCTGTTGGGATTATTTTTCCATTATATATATAAAAAAAATCACATAGTTATCAACATGAGCGTGTTTTTACTCCATTTTAAGCATTTTGAGAATTACAACATTTTAGGGATTGGGAGTTGAACTCTTAGAATCTATTAGAATTCCAATATCCAATTCTTGAAACGACCCGTGAGTTAATTTAAATCAACTTTTAATTGCTTTTTCCAATTAATTTCATTTATCTGTGGTCGGTAATAAGTTCAACAACTGCTAGTACTTTAGTTTTGAAAGTGATTTGATATCTCCTTTTGACAAATTAAATGAGAATATGCATGCATGCTGCTTTTTATTTTATGGGATCACAATTTATTATCACTAACCAAGTAACTATATAGTTAGTTGATAATTCTGAGGGAGTTTTTTTTTATCATTATTATTTATTGCACCAAAAATACATTCTTTTCTTATAAGAAAATATATATATATCCTTTCCTTTCTTCTTCATCCCCAAGTCTCACTCTCTTTTTTCCTGTCTCATGCACGACACGACTCTACTGCCAATTTGCAGAACGAAGAGAAAAACACACAAGTGCTCCAAAAAAAAAAAAGCCCAAATAATAATCGAATAGATAATCCGGAAGTGTATAATTTAATATTTTGAGAACAATTAAATCGAAAGGAAGTATAATGGAATAATATAATGAACTTACCCGTAAGCCGGGAGGGAAGGAGAAGGAGACGCACATGAGATAGAACCACTCCGTCTCCGTCAAATCTCAGGGACAACGCCGCGCATGGCCTCTTCGCCGCTGCCTGCTCCCCCGTCGAAAGTAACGACTCGTACGCTCCTTGAGCTGCTGGCTCCGTTGCAGAGAAGCTTCCTCCGCCGTCACTTCCACCGGCTGCACCGTCTTCCGAGTCTTTATGGCGCCGTTGTAGTACCCGTCGCACCACACCAATATCCTGAACAACAAAACAATAATATAGTAAAAGGTTGATCATATGAGATAATGAGAATAATAATATATCATCACGGCAGGGGAATACAGATACCGTTGGTGGGGCAGAATTGCCAGAAGATGCAGTAAGTCCATTGCACCGACTGGACGGCGGCTTGCAACATGGCCTGCAACTGCAGCTGCGGTGCTTCTTGTTGGATACCGCACGGCGGCGGCTTGCTCATTCCTACTTGTTTAGCGGTGGTGGCGGCAGTGGAGAGAGAGAGAGAGAGAGTTTTTTTCTTCTGTTTCGTGATCCTTGTTGTTGGTGTTGGTGTTTTGGGTTTGTAAGGAAGGATCCATGGGGGTATTGACTGGTTGGTCTACCAGACAGTATGAATGGCCAATTAATCCCGAGTCTCTTTCTCTGGACCCTAACAAGTTAAGTTACATCGTTGCCCTGGATCCCTCTCCCCTTACGAAAAGAAAAAAAAATCTCTCTCCTGTCCTGTCGTCGTCACTTACCAATTGGGGAAATTGCAATTGACATGTGTGCATTCACTCGGATGGCCAGACGTTCCATTTCATATCTTTCTCTTCAAAAAAGAAAAGAAACACACAAAGTTAAATGGGAGATACATTTTTCACAACAAGAAGCCCATCAACACAATGACAACGATGATGATGAGGAGATCCCCACCGTCATAGTTATACGGCGGGTAAGGGAAAAGGTTTCCATATTTAATGATATGAAACATCAGCTTAATTACTCAATGTCAATTTATTAGAGCATTTCTACTATATTATATAGTATCAGTACTTTAATGTACAACTTAAAGTTGTACCATAACATGAAATGTATAAGTTTAGATTGTACAAAAAACAATTTGTACCATTATGTTATGGTACAACTTTACAAATTGAAGTTGTACCATACATAAATGTATAAGTTTTATAAACGAGACAATTAAAATGAGTCAATTCGAATTACCTGCCCGCCCTAGATAATTGAAATTGACTCAAAACGGATCAATTCAAAATACCTCAGGCAGATTGATCCATCCAAAATATTTGCTGGGAAACGAGGCAATTTGGTACAATTGTCTCAAAACGAAACAATTGTGTCAATTGATCCATTACAATTCCTTAAATGTGAATTTATTATAGCCAAGTGAGTTGTGCTTTTTATTTATTTATCAGAGATGTATTGAGAAAACAATTATAATTGGTATGGGCCAATAGACTTTGGGACAAGAATGGCGGAATTAGGGTTTTCTGGCTAGTTGAGAATCTCGTTTTCTTCAAGTTTCCGTCGGAGGCTTTGGCGAATTGGGTTTCGTGAGTGGACCTGACATTTTGGCTAATTATCATAAATGGTCACAAACCTTTGCGCTTTGTACAAAACGGTCACAACCTTTATTTTTGCACGATTCAGTAATAACGTTTAACTATATAACAAAATGGTCATTCCATCTATCTCCGTCCAAAATTCTGTTAATTTGATCTAGTCAGCACTCCCACATCATCCAAATTAATAATAAAATAATAAAACTTAACCAAACCGAACAAGAATGAAAAATTGAATTTCCACCATCAATGCCCGGTCCCAATTCCCCATTCTTCTCTGCCGCTGTCTATAAGAATTCAACCTCAAAATCCTTTCCATTTCGTCGCAATGACCAAGCTCGCCATTCCTCCACCGCCGGCCCCGATTGTTATCAGAAAAGTCTTGGGGTCCGATTCCGCTTCTCCTTCGATGCAACGCGAGGCCAGAATATAAGAAGAGAAGGAATGAACAGAGGTGGAGGCGACAATTTGGGCTCTCAATCCCGACACTCCGTTGACTGAACGGGAGACCGAGAGGCGGAGGACCACAACTTCGACGAGAATAATATCGCGCGACTCCAGCTTTTGTTCTTCTGTCGATGAAGCCTAGCTGAGAGAAGATGGCGACAAGGGCACCACCGCCGTGATGAGGTTTTGAGGAGGTCGGCTGGACTGAGGGATGGAGAGGTCTCAACTCGCACGACCGGAAAATGAAAGGAAGGAGAAGAGGCGATGGAATGAGAGAGGCGCTGGTGTTGGATTCTATCGGCTGGGCACGAGCGGTGAAGAAGAAGGGTTTACTGAATGGGTTGCCCTCTATTTCTCCCCAAGCAATGCACAACTGTCATAAAATGGAGCAGAAGAGGCGCCATTCTCGCCATAGTAATTAGGCGCGCTCGTCGTCTTACTGGGGAAATGCTGGCATGGAGGAGGAAAAGTGAGGTTGGGAGTGATCGTCGGAGGAAGGAAAAGAAGTAGAGGAGATCCCTGGACCCTGGGGTTTTCTTCCAGACAGAAGATAGGTTTAGACGGTTGGGTTTTGAGAGAGGTAGATGGGTTGCGTCCGGGTATGGTTAAGTTAATTATTTATTATTAATTTTGATGACGGAATGCTGACGGATCAAACTAAAGATTTGGATGGAGAAGGACGGAATGACCATTTGTTATACGTTTAAACGTTTATTATCGATCGTGCAAAAATAAAGGTTTGTCACCGTTTTGTACAAAGTGCAAAGATTTGTTACCATTATGATAATTACCCTTGACATTTTCATAATGATATGTGCTTCTTAAGGAAAATGGAAATCGGGGATTAGGGCTATTGAGTAGGATGGCAATCCAACCCGAAATTATCGGTATACTATCCGATCGTAACTGTCAATGTGGGTAATTACCCACTTTGACGGGTAAGGGCGGGTATGGGTAAGGGTAATACTCGGTTGAAAATGCGGGTACGGTACAGGTATGTTAATTGCTAATATCCACCCTGTTATACCCGCCCCGCTAACTAAATAGTAGATTTCTCCCTAATCCTAAGAGGCAACAGAAAATCTATCGTGACTCGCCAGCATCTCCGTCAGTCGTGCGACCTGCTCTTCCCTGCTCCCCTCTCGTTCGCGACAAGTCGGTGTCTCTGTCAATCGTGGGATCTGCTCTTCTCTCTCGTTTGCGACTCGTCGGCAAGCTCTCGCACGGGCGACATGCCTCTCCCTCCCTTTTGGTAAGTTTCTAATAATCCCATTGCCCAATTTTGTTATTTATTGTACGATTTGGCCAGTTGTGCTCAGTGGCTGTGTGGTTGTTTCCCCTGATTATTGAAGTTAGAACAAATAGGATGTGTGTGTTTTGTTTGTGTGGATGTAGCAGCAAGACAACTATTATGTATGTTTTCGGTTTTTATTATGTGGATTGTTGTAGCTAGAACAGTTACAAGTATACAATTTTTAATGGACAACAATATGTATGTGCATATATGTGTATAAGTTCATATTTAGGATTCGTACCCGTGGTTACCCGAATACCGTGGTTATCCGTGGGTAGGGTATGGTTATATCATTTCTATATCCGGTGGTTATTTGATCCCGTATTTTAGGACGCTCTACCCGCGAATTAAGAGTTGGTATAGGTGAACCCGAACCGACCTTACCATTGCCATCCCTACTATTGAGCATAGATCTACTATTCTTGTGTGGGTGGACTCTTCTGATTTGCCGGCTAATTTGTCTCGGGATATCCTACTAGACAATTCACGAACTGACTCATATTCTACTAGACAATCATTCACGAACTTGATAGACCGATAATATATATGTTTTCACCCCTATTCTAAAGTCGTTTGTGATTGTGAGGGAATCTCGTATTTTAAGCCGATATTACGCTAGGTTGTGTGTTTATGTCATATTTCAGGTCCTGACGTTGGAATCGAGGCGAAGGAACGAGTTCTGGATCGAAAGAAGCGAAGATTGGACAAAGGATGCTGCTGGACCAAAATACCCGGTCAAAGGAAGAAATACCCGACCGGGTATATTCTGGCCTCGACCGGGTATTTCCTCCTTCGGGCACCCGTGAGAAACAGAAGGGGGCCCGGGCGATGGCGATAAATCCCCGGTCGGGGATTTTGGTGGTAGACCGGGGATTTTCCCCTTTAGTGGAACGGCGCGTTTCGACAATACCCGGTCGAACCATAAAATACCCGACCGGGTATCGCGGGGTCAGCTGATAAAAGAGGAAGAAGGCCAATTTTCAAAGGGTTCCGAGTTTTTGAGAGAGAAATCGATTCCTAGAGAGAGAAAGCGTCGAACCAGAGTTCCCAAGCGCCATAGATCGATCTTCAACACCATTGGAGCCCGTCTTGAGCTTGGAGAAGTGCGATTAAACGTCCAGGAGCAGGAATCCAACTTCACAGTATGATTTCCGTGTCTGAATCTGCTTTTGCTTCTTTCTCTATGGAGTAGTTTCCCCATTCATCTGGGTATGGAGAACCCTAGATTTGTATGCTAGGTCTGATTGTATGAACCCAAGTACAGAGTTTGTGAATTGATTATATTCGATTGAGGTTTGAATGATTGAATGACTTGAATCCTGATCAAATTCCTGTTGTTTCTGCTTTGACCTAGAATGAGAATATCTGCCTAGGTTGATAGAGTACCCTTAATCGAAGGTGGCGAATTGGTGACTTTAGTCGAGGAGCCAATTCGCTATTCTGTACCGAAGTCAATTCGGTAGTGGAGGTTTGGTTCATTAGGGCCTCAATCTGTTTACTCCGGTGGAGGTTAGTCGCCCGCTAGAGACTCAGATTGAGAGGGTCTGGAGACCTTTAGTCGAGACTTCAGGCTAATTAAGAACCTTCCGCAGTATAACTATCATAGAAATCGAACTTGGTAATTACAATCCGACTTAACTGCAGTCTAGGGGGAACCATATCCGGGTGACCTCTCTTGACTTGACAACAAACCGTTTACTTGCTTTGCTTGCTTGTTAGTTTAGACCTTCACTAAAGTTTCATCGCTAGATAATACGAATTCACTGAGTAGTCATCACATCTAGGACCCGGGTTGATAATAAAACCCAAACCCGCTATACTACGCTTTAGGAAGTGGTTACACTTGGTCATTTTCTAGAGTGATAGTAACAGCGAGTCAAGTTTTTGGCGCCGTTGCCGGGGACGGCTAGGTTGTTGAAGAAAAGTGATTTCTGTTACTTTAGCATTTTCATTTTCTCGCAGTGAGTTTTTGTTTCTCCCACTTGTGCCTTCACGGGGTTTGCGTTGCTTGATTGTGTGCAGATAGTGCATGACCCGTAGCCAGTCAGGAGGTTTACAGCCGTTGAATCCTGAGATTGAGCGCACCTGCAAACAACTTCGGAAACAACAGCGAGCTAGACTGGCTACGGTGGAGCGCCGAGACGGCCAATTGACCAG